CCCCAAAACCCCAAAACCCCAAAACCCCAAAGGTTCAGTATTTTATTAAGATGACTAAAATTTGAATACTTAATAAAAATATATTTAAATTCCATATATGAATCAAGTATTTAAGTTGTTCATTTTCCCTCTGGCTATCATAGCTTGTATTGGAGGAGGTTCAATCTACACCGAGTTAAAGTAAAAATAAATCAACTCATCTTTTATAGCAACATATTCTTATATCAATCTAAGTATTCAATTGATCCAAAAACTATGAACTGGGTAAGTCAAAGTTTCCTTATGAAGATATTAACAATCATATTTCTTAAATGATTATATATCTAACGTACCTTATAGTTCTATTTCGCAGTAACTGCCTCAAATTTATTCGGTATAGTCCCATCTAGGCTATATAGTGCCTTTGGACCTAAGAAAACAATCCTGATCGGTGGTATCCTCCTAACAATTGCCCATGTAACTGCTGCATTGATAATTGACGCTAATTTGAGTAAGAATGCTGCTACTGCATTACTCTTCACCATTGGTATCCTTGGAGGATAAGGAGCATGCATAATCTTCCTCTCTTCCTTAGGTGCTATGCACAAGCTTCACTCAACTGTCTGCTCATGCTTGGTAATTATCCTTACCTAATAAACATATTATCCTTTAGATTAATGGAATTCTTTTGGCTTACTTGTTAGGTAGCGATACTTTCCACGCTGTCTTGAAATATGGAGTATTCCCAGATCTTAGCTATAAGCAATTTTTATTAGTTATTGCTGGTTTTGGAGCTCTTGCTTACGTTGCCTGTGCTATTCTCTTCCAGAAAAAGAAGCAGAAGGAGCAAGGTACCAAGTCTATTACTAAAGGTATTGCACTCAAGAAGTCAGTTCTACTATATGCCTTGATTCAAGCCCTTTATTTGACCCTCGTCACTCTCCTTTCAGTCACTAACCAACTTGATAGTTATTGGGGATCTAGACTTTTGGTCTTCGTACTTGCTATTAACATCTTCATTCCAGGCATTGCTCTATTGTTAATGAAAAATACCTCATTTAAGGGAATGAGCCCATCAGAGACCGATAGATTCCTTTCCCAAAGAGGTAAAAACTGCAATTTTAAGGATGCTAGAACTAAATCTGAATTCTGGCTTTTCTCAATCAGTTTCGGTATTCTTGCTGGAGTCTCAATCATGGTCGATGAGAATCAAAGTGATATTTCACTTAACAACGTCCAAAGAAGTTAGTACAACAGAAAGACCTACGCACTTTTCGAAGTGCTCGGAGCCTTCTCCTCAGGACTTTTCCTTTCATTCTTCAGAATTTACGTTTCAACCTATGGACTCTTTATGTTTAACTGCTTCCTCTTGGTTGTCTCTCAATTCTTGTTATTCTTCATTGATCTCAGCAGCATGGCACTCTTTGTCTCTGTCGTCATTGCTGGCTTCGTCAACGGTTCATCATTTATGATTGCTGGGCAAATCGCTATTGAAGACTATGGGGCTAAACATTTCAGCAAGATGCTCGGTATCTTCTTTACAGCTGCTGGTGTCGGTATGCTTCTCTTCGATGAGTTAATGTTCTCTTATATGTATTACTGGTTCAACCTTCAAGACGAATCACAAGGCAGAAACTACTATGGAAGATGGAACAAATACATTTTCTTGATTACTATCTTATCAAGTGGTTTGGCTTTCGTCATGTCAATTGCTGCCTTTGCTAAAACTAGAAAGACTGATGGCAACAAAGATAAGATTTCAGATTTTGTCAACTTCTGAAGACTTAAATAATTTACCCTGATGAAATACCTGCTTGCATTATACTTAATACAATAATAACATTAACTTCAAACTAACTCTAATAGTAATTATATAATATATATTCAAATTTGAACTCATAGATCGATGCAATTATTGATTGATAAAAATTCTTGAATCTAATCTGTGGTTTCTAAGTAGCAAGATTTAAGTTAAATTCCCTCAGATCATTTCAAAATTGTCTTCATCACCTTCTAGGTCAATATTAGACTGAATTATAACATGATCTCCATCTCTACTAAGGTTGTTAAAATCAAGAGGCTTAGGTCTTTTCTCGGCTATACTAATCACACAATGATCACGTTTGCTTAGCTCAGTAATATTCTCTTTAAAATTCAAGTAGTCTGCTTTATCCCTAATATAGAAGCCTATAGCGACGCTAGTGCACATTTTACTCAAAGGCATCTTTTTGATTTTACTGCTGTGAAATTAGTTGAGATACTTTGATAAGCTCTCATTAGGATTTATGTCACAGCTTGGAACACTCTTTTAAACCAAATGGGGGTCTAAATAGATAAGATTATTTGTAATATCTGTGATTCCTATAAAATACAAAGCACTATTTTCTCGACCACCAGCAATACCCACATTTTAAGGGATTGTAAAGATTTCTTTTATGCCTTCTAGATATTCAGGTTCTATGTAGTTTAAACCTAATCTTGTTGGGTAAGAAATAAACACACCCTTTGTCCAGTTTTAAGATTTTCTCTCAAGTTCCTCAAAATATAAAGTACCTTCGCCACAGACCATCATAACGAAATTCTCAACTGGATCAAATTTTTTATTCAATCTTTTGAGGACATAACTAATTGCCTAAGGTCCGTACCAATCTCCAGGCTTTCTATCAACCTTCAGACCCTCTTGAACAATGTTGTGAATTGAAAATGGACAGTGCTCATCAATTAAAGTGTTGTCTTAAAATCTAAATGTGTTAATTATAAACTTGTAATTACAGTCTCAAAAGATTAAGGTACTCATTCATTAACTCTTAAGAACCCTCTTATTGTATTTAGACCAACTTTATCTAGTCTTGAAATATGTGCCTCATGAAGGCTTAAAACAAAATCATTTATCCTGTTCTTACCATGCATCCCCAGCCTGAATCAGAATAGTAATTTGTTCCTAAGAGAGGAAGTTCTAGTTCATTTCTGTATGAGAACCAAGTGACATTTCGAAATTCTTTTTCCAATAATGATTAAACTAGATCTCTATCTTTTTTCCTTTACTTATCAGCAATAAAATATTGCTTATGGAGCAAAAAAATGATTTGTCCTTTGGGATAGTTACGATAAAAATCTTGAAACTTTCCTATCTGAATGACCTTTCTCTTTGTTCTCTCATTAATGATCACAGAATTTGGAGAGTCAAGTTGAAACTCAGTTCCAAAATACTTGAACTTCATTTTGAATCTACATTCAATAATTTATTAACAATAATCTTTTATTACGAAAATTCCTTCAGCTTCTCTGTGAAAGATTTGCTTTTTTTCTGGACAGGCCCCATACAACTATTATCTGCATTTCTATAGACCTTTACTTTGCCCAGTTTAAGCTAGTGCTGAATGCTTTGAGCTCCAGTCTAGTTATTATGAGCTGTTTTTCTCAAATCATTAAAGTCTTTATTATTTCTTTTACTTTCCATTTAATTTTATTAATTTATCCTTAAGGAAGACATAATGATATTTAAAAGATGGGGTTTTGGGGTTTTGGGGTTTTGGGGTTTTGGGG